GCTGGGTTGTTAGATCCTAGGAAAGTGCACTCTCCTGTACATTTTACAGTATTGAGGTTTGGCCTCGGCCATGTTTTGCTGAGCTTCATCAATCTGAAGGAGCTGTTGGGAACAAGGAGAGAGCAGAAATAGTGTTCTGAAGAAAAAGAGGTGGAGAGAGGTGAATGCAAAGGCCAATATAGGAAGGACAAGATGCAGAAAAAGTGGAAAATTTAAGTGGATTACAAGCAAGAAAAGGGAAACAGTGAATATGTAACAAAAGAGAATATGGAAATATAAAGAACCACATTGGGAGAGAAAAACAAGACACATAAGCATAGGAGGAGGGAAATGGACATTGGGGTAAATAAAAGATAGGAAAAGAGGGAATAGTGAAAAAGGAGAGGATCGAGTATGGGAGTCAAAAATGAAAAGTATAGCCACATGGAAAAGCAGCTTTAAGAAAGAGGAGAGAATCAGAAGGATAGAACGAGAGAAGAGAGATGCCAAGGTGGGAGGAAAATAAGCAGCTTATTAAAGGGACTGAGCTGAAGATGCAGAGGAAAAGCAGCAGCAGCTTTTTCCTTGCTGTCCTCCTGAGAAATCTGTGGATAATGTGTTGCGGAGGAAAAACATCTTGCTTACCGCCCCTTAAAAACAGGTTTAACTGGGGAAAACCAAAAGGCACAGCAGAGAGATAAAACAGCGCTACTGACGGAACTGGGTTGCCGTCTACGTCACCTTATTCAACACATCATGTGACATTTGCTGGAAGCTTTGACTCACGCAGATTTAAAATATCACCGGAGTGGTTTCCGTATGAAGAGTTTTAGGAGAAGATTTCACCACCGTCTTTGCTCAATCCATTGAGCTACACAAGCCTGTAGAACCTCAACCGTGCTGGGGTATTTAGATGGATAAGTAATATATTAAAGTGATATGACTTTACAGCAGTCTAAATACACTAAAAGAGAAATCACTTCACTACGAAAAACTGAAGAATTACTTCCTGAAAGTAGAACAAATATGAACAACATAAAGCAGGATAAAACTATCAGAAATGCATATTGAGATCCCCTAAATCTCATCGTCGCCATTCGAATCCAATTATTTTTTCAAAGAGGGCTGAGAAAGTTGTCGAAAAAAGCAACAGTAGACGATAGAGAGCATCAACATCCTTAAAGAAGAACAGAAAGTGAGATATCATCCATTTAGTGTGACTAAATCCACACAAAGAGCCTTAATAATTGTTAGTTTTCAGTCCAAGAGTAACTCCTACAACACCCCCACTCTGGAGAAATCACATTTATATACCGTACTTCATTTAGAGAAAGATACTTTTAACCCTACATCTACGATCGATGGAGGTGAGGGGTCACTCCCTCCAACAAGACAACAATAGGGTGGCGAGTTGAAGACATGAGGGTTTAGAGGTGAGGGGGTTGTATCCGGGATACCAGGTGTTACTGTTAAGCTCTTAGGAGGCTTTGTGGGCCAATCAACACATTGTCAAAAAAGTAGGTCGCCCAACGACGTACCTTCTCTTCCTTTCACCTCTGAAATCCAATCCAACATCGAGAGTACTGGTTTACCAAAGGATTTGAAACACCAAGTCCTATTAGCTCTACTGCTAAGTGAAATTATTGAATCAAAACAAATTGAGTCTGCAGCCGCTAGTTTGCTATAATATAAATGCTAATATCAGCATGCTAATATGTTTATGCAGAGGGATCACTGTGATGCAGCTGTTAACCTGATAAAGTTCACTATGTTGACCATAATGGCCTCATCTGAGGCGTACAATTTCTTTACCCTTCTCCCAATAACACAAGAGATTTATTAGTTAGTGTTTTACTCCACTGATTTCTAGCCGAGCTACTTTTTACCTCGAACTCTGTCAGTCTCTCCCACTTGCCTGCTTGTGCCATTTTCTATAGTTGTTAAGGTCCACGCAGACAGACCTCATAGTTTCAGCTGCGATTGTGTACATACCCCTGACTGGGATTCATTGCAGCTCTCTATACACTCTATTCCATGTGCCTATGCTTCAGACTCTGTTGTGCATGAGCGTGAACTGCATGCAGGTGCAGTTGCACTGCAGACCTGTGCTACTGCCATAGGCAATTCTGTTAGAAACTGCAATACTAAAAAGAAAAATGATCTACCTTCAGCCAGTTTCTTTTAAGAGAAGTTCACCTAACCGAGACAGTATTTCTAATTGCTAAATCCCTACACCAATTTTGCATGGAAGAATCTAAGTAGTTGTTACTGCGAGACTGGTTTGAGATTTTGCGACGTGTATCAGGATTATTTATATGACAGGATATTAGTCCACTCTATTCTATTCACATGTTTATAGTAAATTCATATTCATGTATCTTTTCATAGACTTTTAGGAGTCTGCAAAAGTTCTACTGTCCTTGTGTCCTGTGTTTGAAATATCTGTAGGTAAAAAAGTTGGAAGCTATGATTTTTTTAAGCCTATTTTAATCTGTCATAAATCAAATATTGTTGCTTTGCCATTAATAGGTGTTTTATCACTTTCTGCCTCCCATCTACCTGGCTCACCATGTGGCTTTGAACTGAGGGAAGCTAACCGTCTGGCTTCAAAGATAGTGGCACACACAGACAAGGCTTCTTATCACCAGGTTATCGCAGTCACACTCTGCTCATCCCAGAGGAAGAGACAAGAGAGAGAGGGAGAGAGACGGACGAAGCAGAGAGAAAAGGAGAAAAAAGAGAGGAGGCGAAAATGTCAAACTGTCTGGCCTTTTCCCGACAATCCCACCACGAAGTCTGTCTGAGAAATTAATCTTCTGTCATCTGAAGATAGGAATCTCACACTTATCTTTCTCCACACGCACCTCTCTCCCCCCTCGTCATTCCCTTTCACTCAAATTCCATTGTCTATATTTTCTTGGATTTCCCTTTTTTAAAAGTCCACTCTGTACTTCCTGTCCTGATATTTACAATATCTGCCTTTATTCTTGGCTTCCTCCTTCTCTGCAGACAGAATACTCATTCTCTTTTTTCTCTCTCTCTGTTGGAGCTATTATCCCCTGCCTGGCCACATATCTTCTATTTGTATCCCTCAATTGGTCTGTCTAGCTAACAGCACTAACATACACACACATGGAGGCAGCTCAATTGGACCCTCACACACAGCTATCAAGTTTTCCATTCCTCTGTAATCTGTGATATTGTTACCGTCAGGGTTGTGATGTTTTTCGAGCCTCTTCACTCATGGCTTTAAATGTGACACCGTGTGGAACTGCGCATCTTATCTACCAAAAACGGACAACATCACGCAACCCAACTCTTTACAGGATAACTGTATATCTTATTGTTGTTGATATCTGAGCATCTATGGTGCAATTAGAATTTTTTTTAAATGTTTTAAAGTTTTATTTGAAGAAAACCACAAAAGTGTGATGGGATTGCACTGGAGTCTGTGTTTTTGTCTGTCTGCAGATAATACTGATGACAGGTTATTGTTCCTGCTGTATTGATTTGAGGTTTAAACAAATCTGAGATGAGACCCCAGATAGACCCTTAAACTTATCTTACAAGTTAATCTATACATTTAAGAGCTAATTTTTTTCATTCATTTTCATAAAAACAAAATATTGTGAATGTATCTTTTTCAATAACAGGGATGATTACAATTTATATTATTATCAACACTTCGGTATGATGCTTAATTTCTTTCAGTAAAAGTCTGCATCCACGTAAATCATTTTTCATTTTAAGACAAATCACTGGTGCTACGTTTACGCCTGCCAGCCACACTACACCTGGGTGTTGCAATTGAAATGGAGAATTTGGCCCCGTTTTTTATTGGAAAAATATGGGTGTGTATGAGTCTGGACAGATAGAAACAGACATTTAGAAACTATGACACAGTCACTTGCTATTGCTTCCAGGTTTCTTCTTACCAGTCAGTCTACCAGCAGTGAATGCAAAGTGTTGCAGTTCCACCTCATTGACAGTCCAAGAAAATACTGTTCTTATTTTTCATCATTGTCGTTTCTTGTTCCTAGTATTTCCTGCAACTAAGCCACCAATTGCAAAGTAGACAATGTCCATCCTGTTAACACTGCCCGGTACACATGAATGTCCATGTAATATGAGTTTTCAGGTGTGTTGGTATGAATAAATGACTTCTGATGTGGAGCAAAAACAAGACTGCTGAGACAAACTATAAAAATATGTTGGCAACACGCCGACATTTATAAAAACTTGAGCAAATATATTTCATCAATTTCTTGAATGGAGGAATTCACACAAGTATGATTAAAAACTTAATGTTTGAAGAACCTGATTGATACAGTCAATGAATTACATCTTTTAAGAGAGTATATCATTATTAATACTAGCAGCACTGATTTGACATGTCAGATCAGGTTTAGACAGACAGAACAGGTGACAGAACAGGATCAAATGGTTTGTCAGGTTGTGATCATATAGTTTTGCTAAAATACTCTAAACATCCTGTAGAGCATGAGTATGTTTCATAATGTCTTGATCAGACACAATTCCTTGGTGGTTTATGTGAATCCATCAATCAATTCATTTGACAAGCTGCTTAATATGAAGCCACTGCACAAAGACACAGTGCAGAGGAGGATGGAGGGGACAGAGGGAGGGAGAGATGGAAGAAAAAGAAAGGCGCTTACATGTTTCTCTCCTTCGATCCTCTTGTCAGCCTGTTGAACAGCTTCCAGGTACTTAAAATGCAACTCCATCAGGCGGTCAACCTGGAGAGAGAATAAACAGGAAAAAATACAGAAAGTGAGTGATGCAGCACACCAGAAAGGACTGTGAAAATAGAGAGGTGTGAGCAAGACAAGGGAGAGAGTGCAAAGAAGAGACAGAACACGATGAGATAAATACGCAAAATGATTTTATAATATTACATATAAAGTAATTATATTGACTACATGTCTAGACTAAATGTTATGTATGTGGAAACAACTTTCAGCTTTGTTCAAATTAGGTCTTCTTTTACTTATAGCATGTATTGGTTTTTTTTCAAATTTCTGCAGGTTTATTATATGGAAAACAAAGACAAGAAAAAGTTTCTTATTCATAGTAACATTAAAATTCCCATAAGATGAAGATGTAAGTGCAGGAAGTGGATAATAGAAATGAGACTCGGGTGGTCTCGTAAGAAAACTATTCATGCTTGAATTTGCACAAGCAGTTTCTACATCAATAGACACATTCAATGAGATGTTTTTGTATATGTGAGGGATGTGAAAAAAAGAAAATCACAGCATGATATTTGAATTACTTTCTCAAGTTTAGCAACATGTGGAAGAAATATAGAGTAAAGTAGAACAGTCACTGAAGCCGAGTTACCTGCATTTAAACATGAACAAATTTAAACTACCCTGTGTTCAGC